TACCCCCTCAGCGTCTATCTCGCTCTCTCTGTCTCTGTGACGCAGGCCGGTCAGTGGCCAAGCGCTCATTTGCGGGTCAGATTGAATGGCTCTAAGAACTCGATTATTTTTTACGGTGTGTAATTAAAACGTTGCAAATGGAAACAGAGAGGGAGAGAGAAAAGCGTGAGAGCGAGACATGTTGAGCCAGCAAATGTTGAGAGTTGAGTTGAACAGTCAACGTCAGCAGTAGAAGAGATACTTATTAATAATGCTTAGCGCTTTGCCTAATGAAGCTACAGCTAAGTCGGCTAAGACCAGGACACCGGCCAGGATCAGAATGGGAGAGCCAGTGAACAGAAGTAGGAGCTAAAGCAAAGCACAACGACTACAGCAACAGCAAAAGCAAGCAAGAGCAACAACACGAACTTCATCAACAGTTGCCCAAGAGTTAATTAAGCTAAACGATGCCAAGCATTTGGCATCTCATCCTCCAGTTAAGGATGCTGGCCTTTTAGCCTGATGCGGCTTATGTAACGGCTTTTGCAATTTATTGGCCCTATTAAAAGTTGACAACACGGTCACAAAAATGTTGAATCTCTCTCGCGCTCTCTCTCTCTCTCTCTCTGTTTCCATCTCTTTCTCCGCCTCTTTAAGTCCTATGGCATCTAAGATCTAAGCACAAATCGTAGCATACTTTCGAGCGCGCCATAAATATGCAAAATACTTTCTGAAAACGGCTTAGCGAAGCATTTGCGAGCATTCGCATTTATGGAAAGCCACTCACAGCACGCTTATGCCTTTAAATTATGAATTTATGAATTTAATGAGCTGCCGGACGATGTGAATTGATCGACTTGTATATACCCAGTGGTAACATACATAGGAAATGAGTAGACAGATACAGATACAGATACAGATACAGATACAGATACAGATACAGATACAGATACAGATACAGATACAGATACAGATACAGATACAGATACAGATACACATACACATAGAGTTACAGATACAAATAAAACTCTCTTCGCATCCATTACAGGGTATAACTAACATTAACATTGAAATTCACTTCTTGAGCGATTTGCATAATGTCCACGTAGGAAATGACAATGCCATTATGCAATGCGTTACAGTTGCTAGATTTTGATTTTGTGCAAAAACTAAAACACAAACTCACTCACATACACACACATTAATATGTGCATGTGTTCAATGGTATTGAATTTCGTTTTACGATTTCATTTTTGGGCCATGTCAGAAACGTTTGTTGTGTCAATTTATGCCGAAATGCCGCCGAAAGTTGAGATGGCTGCCACCCCCAAACAGCAAACAGTAAGGGATGTGTGCAGGGAAGGGGCTGGCAGGGGCGGGCCGTCATGTGTCTCCCTATATGCAGCGCACATTGTGCACTTGACTCGAGGCTGACTTTGGCAGTTGCCACAGTCAAGCGCTGTCTATTGTGCCAGCTAGTTGATTGCCATGGCGACAGACAGGGATTTTAAGGAGCTGCGTTTTATGATCGCCAGAGACATTTGGCTTTGATGACACAGCACAAATATAGAGAGAAGGACAGATGACGAGCGAGATAGCAAGAAGCAATCAGTCAGCCAAAGTTAAAGTTCAAATCGCCGAGCATGAAAAGTGTCTGTTAAAATATTACGACAGCGAGGCTCAAGTCCGAGCTGCCTTCATCAAAGTCAGTGCATATATGTATGTATATATATTTATATATACTTATGTATATTTCATAAATTGAAGAAATACTTTGATGTATTGCCAGGCGCTAAGGGAATTTTTAAAGACTCTCGAGCTTGCGAGGCTTTTTGCTGAGATGAATTATCTTCGACATCACAGTTAGAACTCCCAGCGGACGAACACATTTAACGAATTGAAAGCGTCAACTGCTTAGCACCACGGCGTGAGATGCTGTAAATGAAATGAATTTGAGCTATGATCAGCTCATTGATACCCTAGAATTCTATACTAGTTTGGTTAATTTGGAAAATATAACTTGGAATTGAGTTGAAAATAAATGTTCTCTTTCTCGAAAATCTCTCTCTCTCTCACTCATTTTAGTTGTCTCAAACTATCCGGAGAATAGAGAGTTAGATAGAGATAGGGACTGTCTATCATCTGTTTCCAAATGTATTTGTTAATATATCTGGTCCAATTTGTCTCTCTCTCTCTATCTATCTGTCTCTCTCTTTCTTTCTCAAAATTTCTCTCTCTCTTTCAGAATTCTTACCTCACTCACTCTCACTATTTCTTTACACCTATGCCTTCATTATTTTTTCTCTCTCTTGTTATATCTTGCTATATCTCAGTTTTTTTTCTTCAGTTTCTCGCAAAATATCTATCTCCCTTTCTCTCTCCACCTCACAGCTATCTATGCGCATTTCTTGTGCAAAGATTTCCACTTCGCAAATGGAATATGTAAAGACTCTGTGTTCGCGTATCTTAATGGTTACAGGGTATAAGAACAGAAGCTTATCGGCCGTAAATTGCTGCAAAGGCATGGCAAGAAAACCAAAGGCTACATGCAACTGGCAAGCGGGAATGGAAATGGAATTGAATGTGGAAATGGAAATGGCTAGAGAACAGCCGATTGGGTGGGAGAATGGGCACAAGAATCGACACGCGCAAACCCTGACACGTGGCCTTAACCGCACACGTAACAGGCACACATTCGCACACAGGCGCACTTTCGCACACACTCAGATTCACACAGACTCGCACACACAGTCGAGTGTTGAAAATGAAATTGAAAACTGTTAAATAAATCGCTAGCAAGTGAGCTGCTTGCACATGGAGCATTTGCCCAGACGAATGGGCAAACAGAAAGACAAACAGACCGACGACGGATGGCCGATAACCAGAGCAGGCATATAACGAAGAGGTGCGGGATATGCGGGCGGCAGGTGCAACTGGAGCTGCGGGCACTCGCCGCACTTGAGGCGCCCACTCGACTTCAGTTCGGCCGCCACAAAGAACACACAGGATACAGGATAAGGAATAACGCTGAAGCCCAGACGTCGGGGCATCGAACGTGATTGGATTTTTATACTCAATATAAAAAGGATTATACGGCATTTGTATTGATGCAGGCACTGGCAAAGTTCATAATAATTGGAAAACTTAAGACACCCGCGCAGACACAAAGCATCGACCAAATTGGAGCTCGCACACATAAAATCAATTTGAAAAGTCCTAAATATAGATATGGATCCGGCGAGACGGGCCGCCCTGAGTCCAACACTTCCGGTTGCCATTGTTCGCCAACACTTGAGAAGTACCGCAAATGAACTCAAGCGTAGAAAAGCAAGTAAATGTGCGACAGTCGACTGTGACTGACTGGAAGATACCCTAGCAGCACGGTAAGGGAGCCAGGTACAAATTGCCATAATCTTTTATGAGACTTTTTGGGATAAGGGAAGGACCTGTCCAAAAAGAAAAGCCACGTATGCTTAAATAGAAACTTTATGACATATTTGGTAGCCCTGAATATCAAGGCATACGAATCAGCTCATTTACCAAATGTTCAATATTGATTTTAATCGATGACTGTACAACAATATCGATTTTAATATTTAAAATTTACCAAATGTTCAATATCGATTTTAATCGATGATTGTACAACAATATCGACTTTAATATTTATTTAAAATGTGTCGAATGAATCGTCTACTAGACGAACGTGTATCTAGGAAAATTAAGGTAATCTATAGATATATCATAGAAGAGGAATTAGGATGACATATAAGGAAGACTCACATCTAGAACCCTCATCTGTCTAAACAGACAGACATACAGACTGGCGCACAGGTGCAAAAGAATTTAATCTACTATCGTTTTCACTTCATATTTTAAGAGAGATGTGCCCATAAGTACTGACTGACGGAATGACAACTCAATCAAGCAGATACAGATACATGTATATATAGAATATATAGCACCCTCTTTCTGACTGTTACACACATTTTAAACAAGTCATTTTACCCCGTTTATTCATTTTTAATGTGTTCCCTGAAGAAAGTCCCTTGTCGCTCAGCCCACCCCAATCGATATCAATTGAAGTCTGTGAAAGTCTTAGGAGTGTGAGGAAAACCAAGTGAAGCAGGTAGCAACTTAACTTGCGGTTAAATATTAAACGGCCAACAATAAAATAAAATAGGTTTGACTATTTTAGCCTGTGTTGCGCTATTTATGGTTGAGAACAAAGGGTTTCCTTCTCTAATGGGTCTTATATGTCAGCTCAAAAGGAGTATGAGGGTGTGTTAGGTTTGTGAATGTTTACTAAGTAATGTGAGTACAAAATGCTGTACTCCTTTTATTCTGTCGAATGCAAACAAGTTCCATAAAAACTCTTGAATATAAATTTAGTTTTTTTCAAGTATAATTCTCAGATCTGCCTCTAGCAACACCAAACACTGTATATGACCAATATGAACCCCTTCACTTACAGTCGAACATTTTTCGATGCTTCATTTTCAATTCGTCTGCACGTAAATTTGTCTCTTAATGGATCTAAGACCTGCTTTATCAATTTTCAAGTTTAATATTTAAACATATTCTTTATGCTTCGGCTTAAGCTCTCACATGAATATTACACATTCCATGCTTTATTTGTCTACACGAGCTTTTAGAGCTAATGCCAGGGCTTTGCCCATTAAATGTATATACCCTCATTTTATATATTGTCACGCTCATATGGCTGTGGCTCTGGCTATGGCTATAGCTTCCCGTGGCTGCGCCCCCTTTCATTTGCCTCTCGCCCCCTCTGCGAGCTGAGCTCATCTAATGACACCGGCTGGCAGCAATTTAAAGTGCTCGGACAGTTTAATGGACATTGTCGGTATCCATTGTATTAATATTGGAAAAGGATGGCCTCTGAAATTAACAGCCCCACATACAGCAAACGACCAAGGCAGTCAGAGGCAGCCAGAGGCCGTCAGAGGCCGTCGAGGCCATCAGCTGCTAATAGCTATTGAGCATTAACATTGCTATGAACTTACCTCGGGTATATCATCTGGCACCTTGCCCATCCACGAGAGCGAGAGTATTGTGCAGTCGCATTTTGTGTTGATGTTCCGTTCGAAGTGTAAATGCATTTTATGCCGTTCCAAAAAGCACTTTGCGCTTCCGCTTCTTGGCTAGAACAATGCACGCTGCAGCTGCTTCTCCTTCTCCTTCCGCTTCTGCTTCTGCTGCTTCTTGTTAATATTGTTGATGCTACTGATTTATGCCACGCACATGCTGCTGCAAATAAGAGGAGGAAGCGTGTGTTGATTATCGGTTTCTAGTTTAACAAGCCAATAAACTAATTTAACAATAAAACCTAATACCATGGAAGCTGCCTTATCAGCCAGCTGCCAGGCCAGCCGTAGCTGTGGGTGTGTGTTTGTGTGTGTGTGTGCCTGTGCCTGTTGTGGCATATGCTTGCTATCCAGCATAGGGGTTGACAAATTGAAGCACACTTTCCGGCACACCGAACGCCGCACGCTAATTGGATATTAGCGGCATGTGTAGAAAGTTCCCTTCCGCTGGCTCTCACAGGATATACATACATATATGCATATGTGCATGTCCTATCTGGAATTTAACTACACTCTAAGCGCACACATACAAGTATTGCGTAGAATGCAGGAATTGTTAAAAAAAAAAAAAAAAATCTTGGCCTCTTCTATGCTCTAACAAAACTAATTACAATTTCTGCCAGGAAGTGTTCCAGGGATAGAAGAGAGCATCAAGTATATTTACTGTATTAAAGCATGGAATTTGTCCTCAAAATGAAAGTAGTCGAGTATAGAGATATATGAAAAACACTCCTCCAATGCTCGAATTACAAGCCCCAGAATTATTAGATATGGATTTAAAGTAAAAGACTTCCAGCTTCTAGCGATAACTTACAAAGCTGCTGCTACAAAATTTATCGCAAATGGTCACCTTAAATACAGTATAGATAGTATAAATATTATATACTACATTACTAAGTATATCTAAACTAACATACATACGAACCGAATACTCAATCTATATCTTAGTCTCTCTTTTAGTCTCTAACTAACTAAGTCTATATCTTAGTTTAGCATATATCATTCCCTTTACTGTCTGCTCTGCGAAGGTATCTCAAAATTAGCATACCCAACTACCCTTGGCAGATGTTTAAATAATGTAAAAAGTTATCAAGTGTAGGTATCTATTCTGTCTCTCTTTCTCTCTCTCTCTCACTCGCTGCTCTCTTTGTATGCCTTCAGTGTCAGTCACTTAGTACTACAACAATGTTTCAAAATATGTCTAAATAATTGATAAGCTGCTGAGCTTCTCTTGTCTGACGCTTGAGTGTGAGTGTGTGTGTGTAATTGCGTGTGCGTGTGCGTGCGTCTCTGCCTGTGTATATGTCGAGGCATTAAGTCAACATCAACATTTGTCTTGGGCCGCTGGCAACGCATACACTTCAATTAGGTCGTGCGCTTTGTCTGATTGAATTTGTTATATGATATACACAGATAGACAATTTTTGATTGCGTATACGCCCCCGGGGGTGCCGGCCCGCCCGTATTGACAATCGAATGACATTGCCAAATGTCGACAACAGCTGAGCGACAGCTTTTCCTTGCTTTCGTTGTTGTTGCTGCTGTGGTTTGCCTTTTGCTCTTTGCCTGCTGCCAGATAAAAGCCCAGCTAGTTTTCTGAGTCGACATTGTATTAGATTACAATTAAATTTCCATTACAAGCCTGGCATGTTGTTGGCCAAGGCTCTTTAAAGCGCCCCCTTGTGAATGCGAATGCTCAGCCCCGCCCCCTCCCTCAAACAATCAAAGTCAAAGCAAATGCGTATGTAAGAGTGTATGCGCATATGCCACGAGCTATATTTGGTACGTGTTTTTAGCCACATTCGTACAGAGACAGACACACACACACAGACATATTCACATTCACATATCAAGTCAAATCTCTGTGAGCTACTTTAAAGTTTCCCCACAAACTGTTTTAGTCTTACGGTTTTCTTGCTCTCTCTCTCTCTCTATCTCTCTCTCACTTTTGCCTAAACTGCTTCTCCTCCCTCCTCAGTCACCCCTCTGCAACTGTCTATGCCGTTTGAGCTGCGGTTCTAGGCTCCTCTAATGCATAAAAGCTTTAGCGAAATTCATGAGCGCGACGTCGAAAAACTGTCCAAGTGTCAAGCAGAGTCTAGAGAAGTGTGAGACACTTGCCACATGACACATGCCCCACGTGCCACACGTGCAATTTCGCTGCAGGTGTGCAGCAATACATGAAATGTGCAACTAACAACAGCAACAACAAACTTTGCCTTGTCCTTGACGCTTTTGGCTGGCCAAGAAACTAGCCAAAAATAGCCGCCACTTAAGCACAGTGAACACTTGACTGCAAGAACACGAAAACTTTGCAGCTCGAGCTTAAAGTTTTTACTTACTTTTGGCAACAGATTTACACTTAACATGCAACTGACATCACATGGAATTTATATTTTAAAAAACTAATAAAAAACAACATAATGAAAAATTATTCAAAAATTTAAGATAATATTTTTAAGGTTTAACTACACTATATTTTATCTAATTGCTCTGTCGCTGCCTCATAGCGTTTACTGTTATCTATTAACCTCGCTTGTCGGCGACAAAATATGTGTTTGCTGCAACGCTCAGAAGTAGGCAACACTTTTTTCTGTTAGCCGCGGCCTTGCCATTAAAAGTTAATTATGTGGAAGCAGTGTCATATACACACATACAAGCACAAGTACGCACACACACAAGCACATACACACGTATATATAATCCCCTAGATTAAAAGCATGCACATAAGTTTTGCTTTCTCCAATGTGCTCCCTCTCGCTCCACCACTCTCACTTTGCACAACTTTCTCGCTGTTGCAATTAAACTGCCTAAATGGGATTAAGCATACGCCCCATTGTACGCGCTCATTTAAGGCGCTTATTTATTTTGTGTTTTATGTTTTAGTTTCTTTTTGTTTTTGTTTCGTTTGTTCTTCTTCATATTCTTTTTCTCTTTTTTTTTTGGGGCTCAGCGCAGCAAGCCTAGTTAAGCTAAATGCCTTTGAGAGCCTAAAGGCGCCAATGAAGTGCCTCTGGTGGCATTCAAAGTCAAGCTTATACACTGCAAATAAGTTAAGCAATTGGGCATATACGTGAATGTGTGTGACATTGCAAAGAGTTCATAATAATAGATAAATGTTATACATCTGAATTATTTTTCTTATGTTCCCATCTCTCTCTCTCTCTCTCTCTCATTTATTTTTTGTTCTATTTAATAGTATTTAATAGTAGATAAATTGTGTTTAAATATATGAAATATACTTTGTATTATATTCCTTTCACTTAGTGCAAGACGCAATCAATTAATGTGGCTTTTGTAAACATGTTGTCGTGCATTTGTCTGGGTTTATTAACGTATCGATTCCGTCGAAATACGCTTCAGCAGTTTGTTTTTGTTTTGACAGCCATTTAATAAAATTCCTAGAACGACTGATTAGAAAATGTTATGTGATTCACCTTTGCAAAGAAATGAAAACTGAAACTTTTCAAATAAACAAGAAAGAATGCTCCAGTCGGAAATACTCGATTAGGAGATACCCAGATACCAGCACAGAGCTCCTATTCCAATCAGTCCACACTTTTTTCCACACACTCACACATACGCTCACTAAAGCACGCGTGCCGCTTACTGTGAGGCTTACGCAGCGGCTGCGCTTATGGGCTTTACTGTTGGGAAATTAATTGTTGAGTGAGTTTTTTTTTCTAGTTGAGCTTTCTATATGAAATTTCGATGCGACCTGAAAGAGAAGCCAGAGACATACGAATGGTGTTGCTAAGATACTTCGGAACAATCGTATGAATATAACGTTTAAAAAAATAAACAAAAATAAATTCGTTGATTAAATAAAAAATACAAAAATAATCTAATATAATATTAATTTAATATCTCTACATTCGTGACAGATATGTCTATAGTAATATTAAAATCGTTAGCTTTGGTGGTATAAGCCGAAATCAATTGAGCAATAACAAAGAAATAATAGAATTTACCGAAAAACAAAAATATACGACGTTTGGTTAATAGAAGTATATGAATTTCAAATTATAAATATAAATGTAGTTTCTATGGCTTACCAGATTGCTGCATTCATGCGGACAAACAAATAAAAATAGCTATATACATACATATATATGTATGTTCTATAATATATGCTAAATTCCCACATTTAATGGGTTCAGAGTAAACAAATGTTGATAATAATGATGGTAGCACTTTTGATAACGATAATAAAGATAATGACAGTAATAATCATAATGGTGTGATAATGGTAATAGTCAGATACAAGTACAATTTATTCAATTCATAAATCATATTTTTATATAAAATAAATTCTAATAATAAATATGATTGCTTGAACTTTTCACTTTCTATTCTATACATGAAAGCCATGAAGCTAGACTATCTCGTCGGCAAATCTTATAAGTTTTATGACTTTTCATAACGTGTCCAGATTTTTGATTAATGCAGTACTTAATGCTAACGCCCGTTGCTGCTGTTGTTGTTGTCGTTGCTGTTGTTGTGCTTGATGACAACATGTCAAGCGAGGCATGTCGAGCCGTGTCCTTGAGCTGCTCTAAACTAGTTCAACGCTGCGTAATGAAAATGCAGCCATGCATAACAAAACATGAGGCAAAGGCTCAGGCAACAACAACAACAGCAACAGCAAACATTTTTGCAGAGCATTTCGTGTGCGTTGTTGTTGTTGTTGATTGCATGCGACCACAGAATTCCTAGATGCCAGGCACCTCGACAAGAATCTAACTCTTGCGCTGTCTCGCTCACACTTCAGTCCACGCTCCCACTGCCTACTGCGCGCTCTCTTTCTTTCTCGTCTCGCTTTTGGTCTCAAGTTGCGCCTTTGTGCATAATTATCTTAACTTTTACTCTGTTGTTGTTGCTTCTGTCGACTCAAAGGAGTTCAAAGCGCAGCCGAGTCGGTCTAAGGACGGCCGCAAGTGCTAATTTGCAATACGCTTGAGGTACGCTTACAGTTAGTTCTTGTTTCATGTTGTTAGTCTGAAGTTGTTCCTTTCTGACCTTTCATTAGCCACACGCCAATGAACAATACGAAAAACATTTCCAAATGAAAACTCACCAAAGCGAACGACTCCGCTTTAAAGTTATGCGAATCGAAAGCATTGAGAAATTGTGGAATGCAGCAGCTGTAGTGCAGCAAACGAG